CTCCGTGTGTGTGTGTGTGTCTGTGTGTCCCCAACAGTCGGAGGCCGGACAGGCGGACGCCGCTCCCCGTCGCGACGAGTCCCCCATGGACGTGGACCAGCCCTCCCCCGCCCCGCAGGACGCCCCCTCCGTGGGTGAGAAACCCCAAAAAAACCCTTCCCAGTCCATCCCAGTTCATCCCAGTTTCAACTACTTCACGCTCACCCCCTTCCCAGTTTGTCCCAGTTAAGGTTGTACTCACACCGGGGCGGTGGGGAGGGGGAAACCAACGCTGCTCCGTGGTAGTGGGATGCTCCCAGTATCCCTCCCAGTTTATACTGGTTGGGAGAAGGGGAGGGGTTACTGGGAGCTCTGGGGAAAGGGAAAGGGGGGTGTCTTGATGGTGTGTCCCCCCCCCCCGTAGGTTCGGAGGGGTCTCAGGGGGGGGAGCGGGAGGAGCGCCCCCCCGAGCTGCCCCTGCTGAGCGAGCAGCTCTGCCTGGACGAGCTGTGGGACATGCTGGGAGAGTGCCTCAAGGAGCTGGAGGAGTCCCACGACCAACACGCCGTCCTCGGTGGGTACCCCAACATCTCGGGGGGGGCCCCAAGGTGGCCCCGAGTCCTCCCCGGGTGTCCCCAAGACCCTCAGGATGTCCCCAAGTCCCCAGGGTGTCCCCGGGACCCTCAGGATGTCCCTAAGGTGTCCCCCATGGTGACCCCAAGACCCTCAGGATGTCCCCAAGGTGTCCTCAAGACCCCCAGCGTGTCCCCAGGACCTTCAGGATGTCCCCAAGGTGTCCTCAAGACCCCCAGGATGTTCCCAAGGTGTCTTCAAGTCCTCAGGGTGTCCCCAAGACCCTCAGGATGTCCCCAATGTGTTCCCAAGTCCCCAGGACCCCCAGGATGTCCCTAAGGTGCCTCCTAGGGTGACCCCAAGACCCTCAGAATGTCCCCAAGGTGTTCTCAAGACCCCCAGGATGTCCCCAAGACCCTCAGGATGTCCCCAAGGTGTCCCCAAGACCCCCAGGATGTCCCTAAGGTGTCCCCAAGTCCCCAGGACCCCCAGGATGTCCCTAAGGTGTCCCCCTAGATGTCCCCAAGACCCTCAGAATGTCCCCAAGGTGTCCCCAAGTCCCCAGGGTGTCCCTAAGGTGTCTCCAAGTCCCCCCAGGTTGGCCCCAAGACCCCCAGGATGTCCCCATCCCCAAGTCCCCAGGGTGTCCCCGGTCCCCCCAAGACCCTCAGGACCCCCAGGGTGTCCCCAAGACCCCCAGGATGTCCCCAATGTGTCCCCAAGTCCCCAGGACCCTCAGGATGTCCCTAAGGTGGCCCCAAGTCCTCCCTGGGTGTCCCCAAGACCCTCAGGGTGTCCCCAAGTCCCCCAGGATGTCCCCAATGTGTCCCCAAGTCCCCCCAGGGTATCCCCAAGGTGTCCTCAAGACCCCCAGGGTGTCCCCAAGACCCTCAGGATGTCCCCAAGTCCCCAGGGTGTCCCCAGGACCCTCAGGATGCCCCCAAGGTGTCCCCAAGACCCTCAGGATGTCCCTAAGGTGCCCCCTAGGGTGATCCCAAGACCCTCAGGGTGTCCCCAAGGTGTCCCCAAGTACCCCCAAGGTGTGCCCAAGTCCCCCTAGGATGCCCCCAAGGTGTCCCCAAGTCCTCAGGGTGTCCCCAAGACCCTCAGGGTGTCCCCAAGGTCATCTCAAGACCATTAGGATGTCCCCAAGGTGTCCCCAAGTCCCCCCAGGGTATCCCCAAGGTGTCCTCAAGACCCCCAAGGTGTCCCCAAGTCCCCCCAGGATGTCCCCAAGGTGTCCCCAAGTCCCCAGGGTGTCCCCAAGACCCTCACAATGTACCCAAGTCCCCCCAGGGTGTCCCCAAGACCCCCAGGATGTCCCCAAGGTGTCCTCAAGACCCCCAGGACCCCCAGGATGTCCCTAAGGTGCCCCCTAGGGTGACCCCAAGACCCTCAGAATGTCCTCAAGGTGTCCCCAAGTCCCCAGGGTGTCCCTAAGGTGTTCTCAAGACCCCCAGGATGTCCCCAAGGTGTCCCCAAGTCCCCAGGGTGTCCCCAGGACCCTCAGGATGTCCCCAAGGTGTCACCAAGTCCCCCCAGGATGTCCCCAAGGTGTCCCCAAGACACCCAGGATGTCCCCAAGTCCCCCATGATGTCCCCAATGTGTCCCCAAGTCCCCAGGACCCCCAGGATGTCCCCAAGTCCCTAGGGTGTCCCCAAGACCCTCAGAATGTCCTCAAGGTGTCCCCAAGGTGTCCCCAAGACGCCCAGGATGTCCCCAAGTCCCTAGGGTGTCCCCAAGACCCTCAGAATGTCCTCAAGGTGTCCCCAAGGTGTCCCCAAGCCCCCCAGGATGTCCCCAAGGTGTTCTCAAGAACCCCAGGATGTCCCCAAGTCCCTAAGGTGTCCCCAAGACCCTCAGGATGTCCCCGAGACCTCCAGGGTGTCTCCAAGGTGTTCTGGAGTCCCCAGGACCCTCAGGATGTCCCTAAGATGTCCCCAAGTACCCCCACTCAGAATGTCCTCAAGGTGTCCCCAAGGTGTCCCCAAGCCCCCCAGGATGTCCCCAAGGTGAGTCCCCAGGACCCTCAGGATGTCCCTAAGATGTCCCCAAGTACCCCCAGGGTGGCCCCAAGACCCTCAGAATGTCCTCAAGGTGTCCCCAAGGTGTCCCCAAGTCCCCCCAAGGTGTCCTCAAGACCCCCAGGTTGTCCCCAAGTCCCCAGGGTGACCCCAAGAACCTCAGGGTGTCCCCAAGGTGTCCTCAAGACTCCCAGTGTGTCCCCAGGACCCTCAGGGTGTCCCCAAGGTGTCCCCAAGACCCTCAGGATGTCCTCAATGTGTCCCCAAGTTCCCAGGACCCCCAGGATGTCCCCAAGGTGTCCCCAAGACCCTCAGGATGTCCCCAATGTGTCCCCAAGTCCCCAGGACCCTCAGGATGTCCCCAAGATCCTCAGGATGTCCCTAAGGTGCCCCCTAGGGTGACCCTGAGACCCTCAGAATGTCCTCAAGGTGTCCCCAAGATGTCCCCAAGTCCCCCCAGGATGTCCCCAAGACCCTCAGGATGTCCCCAATGTGTCCCCAAGTCCCCAGGACCCCCAGGATGTCCCTAAGGTGCCCCCAAGACCCTCAGAATGTCCTCAAGGTGTCCCCAAGTCCTCAGGGTGTCCCCAAGACCCTCAGGGTGTCCCCAAGGTCCTCTCAAGACCCTCAGGATGTCCCCAAGGTGTTCCGGAGTCCCCAGGACCCCCAGGATGTCCCCAAGGTGTCCCCAAGACCCTCAGGGTGTCCCCAAGGTGTCTCCAAGATGCCCAGGATGTCTCCAAGACCTTCAGGATGTCCCCAAGGTGTTCTCAAGTCCCCCCAGGATGTCCCTAAGGTCCTCTCAAGACTCTTAGGATGTCCCCAAGGTGTTCTCAAGACCCCCAGGATGTCCCCAAGTCCCCCCAGGATGTCCCCAAGACCCTCAGGATGTCCCCAATGTGTCCCCAAGTCCCCAGGACCCCCAGGATGTCCCTAAGGTGCCCCCAAGACCCTCAGAATGTCCTCAAGGTGTCCCCAAGTCCTCAGGGTGTCCCCAAGACCCTCAGGGTGTCCCCAAGGTCCTCTCAAGACCCTCAGGATGTCCCCAAGGTGTTCCGGAGTCCCCAGGACCCCCAGGATGTCCCCAAGGTGTCCCCAAGACCCTCAGGGTGTCCCCAAGGTGTCTCCAAGATGCCCAGGATGTCTCCAAGACCTTCAGGATGTCCCCAAGGTGTTCTCAAGTCCCCCCAGGATGTCCCTAAGGTCCTCTCAAGACTCTTAGGATGTCCCCAAGGTGTTCTCAAGACCCCCAGGATGTCCCCAAGTCCCCCCAGGATGTCCCCAAGACCCTCAGGATGTCCCCAATGTGTCCCCAAGTCCCCAGGACCCCCAGGATGTCCCTAAGGTGCCCCCAAGACCCTCAGAATGTCCTCAAGGTGTCCCCAAGTCCTCAGGGTGTCCCCAAGACCCTCAGGGTGTCCCCAAGGTCCTCTCAAGACCCTCAGGATGTCCCCAAGGTGTTCCGGAGTCCCCAGGACCCCCAGGATGTCCCCAAGGTGTCCCCAAGACCCTCAGGGTGTCCCCAAGGTGTCTCCAAGATGCCCAGGATGTCTCCAAGACCTTCAGGATGTCCCCAAGGTGTTCTCAAGTCCCCCCAGGATGTCCCTAAGGTCCTCTCAAGACTCTTAGGATGTCCCCAAGGTGTTCTCAAGACCCCCAGGATGTCCCCAAGTCCCCCCAGGATGTCCCCAAGACCCTCAGGATGTCCCCAATGTGTCCCCAAGTCCCCAGGACCCCCAGGATGTCCCTAAGGTGCCCCCAAGACCCTCAGAATGTCCTCAAGGTGTCCCCAAGTCCTCAGGGTGTCCCCAAGACCCTCAGGGTGTCCCCAAGGTCCTCTCAAGACCCTCAGGATGTCCCCAAGGTGTTCCGGAGTCCCCAGGACCCCCAGGATGTCCCCAAGGTGTCCCCAAGACCCTCAGGGTGTCCCCAAGGTGTCTCCAAGATGCCCAGGATGTCTCCAAGACCTTCAGGATGTCCCCAAGGTGTTCTCAAGTCCCCCCAGGATGTCCCTAAGGTCCTCTCAAGACTCTTAGGATGTCCCCAAGGTGTTCTCAAGACCCCCAGGATGTCCCCAAGTCCCCCCAGGTGTCCCCAAGACCCTCAGGATGTCCCCAAGGTGTCCCCAAGTCCCCAGGACCCCCAGGATGTCCCTAAGGTGCCCCCTAGGGTGACCCCAAGACCCTCAGAATGTCCTCAAGGTGTCCCCAAGTCCCCCCAGGATGTCCCCAAGACCCTCAGGATGTCCCCAAGGTGTCCCCGAGTCCCCAGGGTGTCCCTAAGGTGTCACCAATTCCCCCCAGGGTGTCCCCAAGACCCTCAGGATGTCCCCAAGGTGTTCCAGAGTCCCCAGGACCCCCAGGATGTCCCTAAGGTGTCCCCAAGACCCCCAGGGTGTCCCTAAGGTGACCCCAAGACCCTCAGAATGTCCCCAAGGTGTCCCCAAGTCCCCCCAGGATGTCCCCAAGACCTTCAGGGTGTCCCCAAGGTATCCCCAAGACCCTCAGGATGTCCCCAAGGCATCCCCAAGTCCCCCCAGGATGTCCCCAAGGTGTCCCCAAGCCCCTCATGCTGTCCCCAAAGCGTCCCCAAGCCCCCCAGGATGTCCCCAAAGCGTCCTCAAGACCCTCAGGATGTCCCCAAGTCCCCAGGGTGTCCCCAGGACCCTCAGGATGTCCCCAAGGTGTCCTCAAGACCCTCAGGATGTCCCCAATGTGTTCCCAAGTCCCCAGGACCCCCAGGATGTCCCCAAGACCCCCAGGATGTCCCCAAGCCCCTCATGCTGTCCCCAAACCTCCCCCAAGCCCCCCACTTTCTCCCCTCTACCCATCCCAGGCCCCTCAGCCCCATCCAGCCTGGGGGTTCCCCCCACCCCCTCCCCTCCAAC